AAACCACCGGAATGCGGGACGAAGCCGCTGTCGCACGCCGCGCCGCGCAGCAGAAGCCGAACCAAACAGCGCCTCAAATGATGTTTTAATATAAATAATAATTTTTAAATCTTGCTCAAACCCTTATTGTCTTATGGCTACATGATTAAGGTTGTTAAAAAAACTCTTTGTTCGTGAACAGCTCATGTTTGACTCGTTAAGTAAATGGGCCGAACACAAACATACTTTTTGAGCTCGAAATATAAACGAGTCGAACGAGTGTTTACACCCCTAGCCGCATCCTTATAACTAATTTTTTGATGAAATAAAATTTTCTATGAGATACTTCTAAAAAAAACTGATAAATATACGGATCGCATTCTGCCACGCGATGAAACTCATGCGCATATTTGAATTATATAATAAAAAATATGAATATCTTCTTAAAATTATTATTTATATATAAAAATGGGAACGCGACAATAATTGAAGTACGAAACAGATTAGACGGGAAATCTGCATGATTTTTTCGCCAAAGAGGATCTGAATTATTGCATTGTTAACTGCACCTCAGCCAACTAAGGGAAAAACTACTATTATAATAAATTAGCATATTAATATTGTAGGAAAATTAAACACATATCTATAATAAAAAAAATAATTGGAGAAGGTATATGTGGAGAATTTGAAAAGAGAAACTACAAGGCATGAATCAATCATAATGATTTACTATATGTTTATAAGTATAAAGTTCAACTCTTATCCAGAAATTGGGAAATGGTTATAGCATTGCATGAAGTACAGCATTTATGAGTACACAAACTCTTGAGAGAAGTCGCCACTAGGAGCTATCGATAAATCTTTTTACAAATTTAATGAACGTATTTTTATCTTTGATTGAGTTATCCTGATACACAAACTCTTGAGAGAAGTCGCCACTAGAAGTCGGCATGATTAAACTGATAAATCTTATAAATAAGAGGCTACTAAAAAGCCCCCAAGCACTACTGCTTATAAAGTTTACCATTTATGATATATTTTTGGATCATCAAATTGATGTATTTACACGTGACACGATAAAATTAAATTTGATAAAAATAAAAAAAAAAATATGAGTTGAGATCTTATGCCCAATTTTAATATTTGAATAAGAAGTAAAAAAACTAATAAAAAGAATGCTAAATCTGTAAATTGCAATGGGTCGAGAGCCAAACACAAAAAATTATCCCATACGGACGGACACCGCATGCAAGATGCATGCGGTGTCCGATCCTGACCGATGTATTTCGACGGGCCCCACATAAATTCTTTTTTTAAAAAAATTTGAAGTATATCCTCACCGTAGATCACCGTGATCTATGATCAGGACCAGACATCACATGCAGAGTCTGTGTCTATATATGTGTGTGTGTGGAGAAATTGATATTAGTGTGTGCGAACCGCATGCATCTCTGCATGCGGTGTCCGATCATGATCGTAGATTACCGCATGCAGAGATGCATGCGGTGTCCGTACGCAATAATTTCTCCACACACACATATATGGACACAGACACACACACATGTTATAGCAAAAAAATATATGAATCGCATTTTGCCACGTAAAGGAACTCGAGCATTTATTTGAATTATGTAACAAAAAAAAAATGAAATATGTTCAAAATTATTGTTTTTATATAAAAATAAAGAACGTGACAATAATTGTAAGCTGCATTGGTACGGACGATAAGACAGCAGATCTGTATGATTTCGTCGCCGGTGCGGATCTCGATTATTGCATGGACAAAATTGACAAAATGGAAAAAATTGAAAAAAAAAAAAAAAAAAAAAAAGGATAAGTGGAATACAGTGATTGATTGAAACTAATTTATTAAATTACTATCACGATGTTACGCTAATAATTTAACACCTCATTCTTCTATAAAAATCAAGCCTATATATAATTAAAGAGAAAATTTTAGAAGAAGATAAATGAAAAAATCTCAAAAAATTATGGGACATAGCTCAATAAAAATAGTTCACAATAAATTTAAAAGTAAAAAAGATGAAACTTTATCCTCTAACTCAAAAAGGTTTATAATATTACATTAAATATAATTTTTATTTGTATGCAAGATTCACTATATTATCACAACTAAAAAAAGAGTTTCACAGTACTTTATATAGATAGTCACGACAATAAAAGTTACAGTTATTTTCATTGCATCGTTGTAATTGTTAGCACTTGAAAGACTTAAAAAAATTATTTTAAATAATTTATGCAGTTTTTTTAAATATTTTCAACAACATTTTTAATGAGTGTCAAAAACCTTATTTTAGTGGTGTCTGTATACATCACTCGAGAATAGTTGTCACTAGAAGTATTGGCTTGTATCAAATACACCTTGTTCGAGGTATACGGTTGCATAATATTTGAGATATTTGGTTACTCAACAAAGTTCTTCAATATTCAATAGAGTCATTTGTTAGTCAACATGATATTTCGTTACTCAACAAAGTCCACCAACGATAGCAAAGAAGGGGCGGCTAGCAGTTGTTGACTGTCATAGCGGGCGGTGGTCTGCAGTTAAGGAGGCCAGAAGTAATCGTCAAATTTTTGAGAAAATATTGGGTCCAAACTACGTATCTTCATACTCCAATAATACAACATTATTTGTAAAATGGTGGGACTTGGTTTCGCAAATTTAAAAACAATGTGAAAAAAGCTAATTTTTCATGCGACTTGGCCCGAAGATAGCTCGTCGCATCGAAAAAAAAATCACCATAATTCCAACAAGAATACTGGTGGTATTTTGGTTGTATTATGATTGTATTGTGACCATATTTTGGTGGTATTTTTGTGGTATTCTAGTGACATTCTAATAGTATTTCTTGGTATTTTGGTAGTATTCTTGTGATATTTTTGTGGAATTCTTGTGGCATTCTTGTGGTATTCTGATAATATTCTGGAATATCAGCAGAATACCATAAGAATATCACCAGAATACCACACTATATGTCGTACAGGTCATCCACACTTAGTATTTTTTCAAGCCAGAAAATTATTTTAACGACAAAAAAGAACAGATGTTGTTCCGAGGCTAATCTGAATTAATATGGTTTGGGTTCCGGTATGTGGAGATCCTCTTCCGGTAGTAGGACGTCTGTGCCACGAGCTGTTATTGCGTGCGGACGGCGCACACATATCGCGTGCGCTGTCCAATAATTTTTTTTAAAAAAAAATTAAAAATGGGCCTACTCACATACACTTTTTTTGATAAATGAGAAGTTTTTATTGGCTCACCTCACCTGGGCGGACACAATAATCACCTGCGCCACTGCCTTATGGTTATAGCTTCAACCCTTTGTCCGCATAAGAAAGAAATGCGGCGCCATGCGCCGCCACCAAATAGATCTGGACAACAAATATTTCCATCAGGACAGATCAGCTTTATTATTTAATAATTTCGAAAGAATGGTTGCGCCGCCGCCACGCAGTAGCAAATCATTTCCGTTAATGTATAAATGACGCACAACTATTGATAAAACCCCGCCAACCACTGGGGTGTAAATGAGTCGGACACTAATGGGCTTAAGCTCAACTTATATTCGGCTCGTTAAAAAATATTATTGTTCTTTTTCGATATGCTTCTATTTCATACCCAAAATTTTTGTTCATGTCGAACACTTGTTGTTTGCTAACAAAATTTTTTTTTGACAATCTAGTCATAATGCAACCGTCAGAGGTGTAAACGAGCCGAGATTGAGCTAGTCCATACACAATTTATTAAAATTAACATTGTTCGTGTTCAGTTTGTTTATATGTCGAGCTCAAAAAATTTGTTAGTGTTTGACTCGTTTGCTTATCGAGCAGAACACGAGCTATTCAAGAACAATGACCCGTTTCTACAAACTCTAATCATACAGTCGTAAAATGTTAAGAGTTTGGTGAGATTTAAATCTCGTCATTTATACTAAAATATTCATTTAAATAGAATTTAATATATTTTATTTATGCATGTATGTATGTATGCATGTATGTATGTATATATATGCATGTATGTATGTATATAGATGTAAGTATGTATGTATGTATATATATATATCTATATATATATCTATATATATATATATGCATGTATGTATGTATGTATATGTATCGAGCCAAAATGAGACGGGTGCAAAAGAACAAAATTTCATTCTTGTTCGGCTCATTTATATATCAAGAGCAAAAAAATTGTGCATGTTCGACTTGTTTGTTTAGTGAATAAATCGAACACGAGCTATTTAACGAACTGAACATGAGTTGTTGGTAAACAATACGCCATTTTGACAACCAACCACCATCCCAAGTATCTAGCTAATAAATGAGAAAAAAATTTGTTTAGTGAATAAATCGCCTGAAAAAATGTCATCAACTAATAAATGAGTAAAAAATTCAAACAAGTATCTAGCTTTTTTTCATATAAAAAATTTAAGAAATATTTTTACAAATTTAATTAAATGAATATATTTTTTATATTTAATTGGATTTAATTAATCAAACCGATAAAGCTTATAAATAAAGGGCTACCGAACACCATCCCAAGCACTACTGCATATAAATTTTAGCATTTAAGATATATTTTTGAATCATGAAATTGATATATCTATATGTGGCATGATTAAATTGAATTTCACAAAAAATGAAAAATATGAGAGTTTATGCTTAATTTTAATATTTGAATGAGAAGTAAAAAAAAAAAAAATGCTTGATCTATAAATAGCAAATAGCTAATAAATATATGAATGGCATTTTGCCACATGGAGGAACTCGAGCATTTCTTTTCTTTGAATGACGTAACAAAAAAATATGAAATATGTTCAAAATCACTACTTTTATATAAAAATAAAAAACGTGACAATAATTGTAAGCTGCATTGGTACGGACAGATTAGACAGCGGATCTGTAAGATTTCTTCGGCGATGAGGAAGGATCTCGCTGTTGCATGCACAAGCGTGCCTTACGCCAACCGCACAAAAAAAAAAGGGCATAAGTGGAATTGGGGCGGTAAAAAAAAAGCTCGTTGTTCACAAATAATTCGTGTTCGATTGGTCAATGAGTTCGTATTCGATTCATTTGATAAATAAACGAGACGAACATGAATAATTTTTTTTTCATTTGGTTAGTTGAACGAACTAAACACGAACAGTGATGCGTTCGTTCGTGTCTGAATTGTTATTATTCAAAATATAAAAATAATTTTAAAAAATTATATGGCTACATGAT